CCTTTCATTTTGTTGTGATTTTTGTTTTCTTCAAGGTAACCTAATTGGAGGCAAGCAAAGGTATCTTCCACAAATTTGCTCTGACTTGGTTTAAATCTTGTTTAACAAGTCATATAAATACACCTCGGAGGATAAAAATTCTTATTCTTGCTACTGATGCACAGAGCTTTACTGATGAAATCAGGCATCCTTGAGCCAAGCTTGAAGTATGTATGGAGGAAAACAAATAGATGAAGTTGAGGGAATCATCAGCTGAGAAGTGAGTTACTAGACACAACAAATCAGATCATCATGGTCAAAGAAGCAAAAGAGAAACACATTTAAAGGTTACCCTTTAGCCTTGGCTTCCATTTCAGCTGTAGCATGAGGCAGGCAGAGCTGCATGCTGTAGCTGCAGTATTAGTTATATGAAATCAATTTAACACTTAAGTTTGTTATTGAAGATACTTGCTTTTTTAAAAAAAGTCCAAAATATGCTTTGATAACAGAAGATTTGTTACAAACCACTTAATTAACATCTAGCTCCCCACCCTGCAGCTTATGCTTTTTGAATTAGGGGTGTTGTCTTGTTTGTAACATTAATTTGATATGTAGCAGTGAGCACCACTTATATCCTGAAGACTGTAAACACTGAAAAATCTAAGAGCAAAGTAAATGACTTATTTTTTTAAAAAAGATCAATAATCTAAATATTGAACAGTTGAGAAATATTTCAGTCATTTAGAAACGCATAAGAAAGATGGTAATTGATTCTCCAGCAAATCAGTTTTCTAGAGTAGAGACATAACCTTTGTATGCAGCTCTTGGGGCTTTCTTGTTACATCCATTGAATATAAAACTGTTGCATTGCAGGTAAATTTTAGTTTTGCTGCCCTTGGCTTGATATCACTTAAAAGTAAATGGTTCTTGGTTGAAACAAAGCCTTGGGGGGTCTGTGGGTTAGCTCATGCTGGAGACTGGTTAATGTTTGTGGTGAGTATATGACCTGGAAGATAAATGTTACTGCAGATTGTTGGGTACCTGGAGAGTTAAATGACTGCTTTTTGGATTGTGCCCGTTGCTGCCCTGGATGTATTGGTACTCGGTGAAACAAAGGGCTGCTGTGTGATGTTCTTTCCTAACCCTTGTTTACTCTTTCTGGAGTTGCTGCTCCTCAGTACATTTTAAGAGCTTTGCAAGAGGTGATGTGAGCATAAAGCCTGCTTGTAACAGCTGTTTTGTGACTGTTATTAACAAATCTAAGTGTAAGGAAAATCACTTTTGGTGAAAAGAGACTTTTTCTTTTTTAAAAAACAACTACAAATCCAAGACCAATTTCATCTTTCTGAACAGCTCTGAAATTACCTAAGATGCTGTTGGCTCCATTAGCAATTCTCAGCTCTCTCTTTTATAAGTTTTTAACCTGATTTCCTAAGATTTTTTAACCACATCATCAGTTCCTTTACCTCTGTCCCTGACCCTGCAATCAAGCTGAGTCTGAGGACTGACACTGAGAAGATGCTGATCACTTCACCATGTATATCACAAAACCATCCTTCCTTTTTGCCCTGCTCCTGCTGGCTGGAGTCTTGTGAATTTATGAGCTGCTGAAGAACAAGAGATGCCACCTTTTACTGATGTGGGTTATATTTACAGAAGGGGGGATGAGATCTTCTTAAAGTTTGGAAAAGTCTGAATTCTTGATTAGTTGTCACTGGGCATCTTAAAAGGTGAAGCAGTGGTGTCTTAAGGGAAGTAAGCAGCTCTTGAATGTTGTGGAAAAGCACTATTTAAGAACTCAGGCATGTGGTTGGAGACCTCTCAGCAGCCGTGGCAGAGCTGAGCTGCCCTTTCTGCCTTCTGAGATCACTGGGAAAAAAGAAAAGAAATGTAATAAAATACAGCCTGCCAGCAAACATTTGAATTCAGAAGGCAACAGCAGCAGAATTCTGTCATGTTCAGCTTCTGCAGTGACATTGAACTAGACAAGAATTGTTTCAGAGTGTTTAATTTGTTGTGGTCTATATACATGTTCTTTCCCATTATCTCATATATTTCAATTAAGCCTGAATGCAAAAGAGAAAGTAAAGAAGGGAGCTGTTGCTGCCCATGGTTAGGCATGAGGCTTTTAACTGCAGAAATGTTATTTCCAAGTTGAAATTGTTCTAAGTGAGTTTTCTGGTGGGGGTGGAAACTGTAGAGCTGGAAAATAAAATGCCAGTTCACCATTTCAATGCCAATGTTTGAGGAGCAAAACAAACCCCTGGGCATTGCTGGTTACTGGTGTAATACGCTCCATGGTCTTCCAGGGATGCTGCAGGCAGGAGCCAGCAGAGGGATGCTCTATGAGCTTAGGGCTCTTGCAGAGCTCAGGAAGTGTTTGACTCCCTTCAGTGCCCACTCTTTTCCTTACTTTCAGCTGCCTCTTAGGCCTAATGCATATGCTGAGATTCCCAGAACCACCTGGCCTCAGACCTGCTGCTGTACCTGGGATGGTTTCAGCCCATCAAACTCCACCAGGCGAGACTGTTGCTGGGCTACCTGGGAGTTGTATTTTCCCCATTTAGCTTCATTTTGGGGTGCTCTGCTTCCTCAGCAGATGGCATTTTTATCATGTTTTTGGAAAGTCCATATGGCCTACAAGAGAGAGTATCTCTTTAATTGTAAAACATGACCACCTGTTCTGATTTTAATGAATGCAGGGAGCATTTGTCTTCATACATCTACTTAAAAATAGCTGCTTCAATTGAATTAAAAAAAAAAACAACCCTCTCAATTGGGCACCAACACTTCAGCTGCTGAAGTAATCAATTAATAATTAACTGGCTAATTTTAGAACCCACTGGCCTTGCCCATTCCCTCGGACTTGTGATCAGATCAGACAGTGATTGATTGCCCTGCTGACGCCAAGAGGCACCCGCAGCGCTGGGGCCAGATGCCGGGAGGCTTCGAGCTGTTTATTGTGGTATTTAGAAGGTGAACATGACTTCGTGCCTCAGCTCTGCAAATAAACTTGTCTTTCCTGCTCTAGCTCTCTCCTCTTCCCGTTGTGAAGCCATCCCCAGGTACTGCTTTTCCTGCCACCAGGCTAGAAATCTGATGCTTAAAAGGGATCCTAATAGTGGGGCCAGCAGGTTGAAACTGCCAGCAAAAATAGGCTTGAAAGGCTCATCCACTACCTGACTCCTAATAGAAAGTCCTGTAAGAATCATGCTGCTCATTAAAATAAAAATTGGCTGTTAACTGGTTTTGTAACTCCTGCAGCAGGTCTGCTGGCCAGATGAGAAAATGTGGAGGGTTTTGTCTCAAGCTTTCAGAGAGGTAGAAGGGACCAGGATGCCCAATTCTTGTTAAAGGAATGTTAACACTTAATTCAAAGTCCCTTTGAAAATTAACCCCTTTGTTAGAAGCAACATCATCTTGTTCTAAAGCTAATTGTAATACCCAAATGGCAGGAAAACACTGGGATTTTGGTTGGTGTTAGCTGTTTAGAGGGTTAATATTTCAGAGATGGAAGAAAAGGGAGTTGGAAAGAGTTCTTGAGGGTCCAGCACTTCCCAGCATTTCAGTGCTGGCAGTAATGAGTACAAGAGCTGCTGGGTTTCAACTCAATAGGGTAATTCAACAAATGAATTAGTGGTGGAGAACAGTTGAATAAGTGGTGGAGAGAACTTGTTGTGGCTGGATGCTTTTACATGGTGAGGAGGAAGAGAGAAAAATCTCTTCTGGGAGAAGCCTCTGATCCCATCTTACATAGAGGAGAGGCTGGAAGCAGTGGGAGAGGAAGGCAGCTTGCCTGCTTGCTTCATTTTAATTAAGATGTTCCTGACACAGCCCCCATCCTGCCCTGGCCACTACTTAGCCTGGTAACACAGGGGAAGAGCTACCCTTGCCAGTCTGATGGCTGCTCTAGCCTGATCGATGTAAACCCAGTTATCTCTCAAACCACATGGGACTTTGAGACAGACGAGTGTTTGTATGGCTGAGAGCTCTGCTTTGAAATGTTGTTAAAATACCAAAATAACCGTCAGCATTGGCATTTAAATTCATTTCTATGTAATCTTGATGTCTGGGTGTCGCGAGTCGCTTGGTGACTTGGAGAAAGGCATCCAGCTCTGTTTCCTTGCATGGATGTGGCCTTCCCTCCCTGCACTTCCAGAATAGCAGGGGATAACTAAATGAAATTCAACATTAAAGGCTGCAAGTCAGAAAGAGAGAAGCTTATTAACCTTGTTGAGCTGGAAAGAGCACCGGGGTTGTTGGATTCTTGGGTCTCGTGGGGGTTTCTGTTCTTAGGTTTTCTATTTTCTTGGGAATTGACACTTGGTGCTGCAGAAAATAATGTCTTGTTAATTCTATTGTGATCCCTTTTATGTGGTTGTGGCCTTGCAGCACATCTGTGAATTTGATCTTAAGATGAGCTGGAATTTCATCTTGTCATTAGCAGAAATGTTAATTCTCTCTTGATTGGTAATAAAATCAAAGGAGAGAAGAAAAAAAAAAAAAAAACCAGAAGTGTGGAGGTTACCCATTTAGAGTAAGGGTGAAAATTTAGTCCCTGTTTCCATTATCTCATTTTGGTAGTCAACAGACTGAGTTTTTAGCTTAGGCTTTGTAAGAGGAGACAGGCTGAGGAAGGAGAAGGTGAGGGGGGTGCAGGGCATTAAAAATAGCAGAGTGGTCAGGGAGGAGAGACGAGAGTCCTTTGAGCTACTGGCTTGCACGTGGGCAATGTGGGGTTTGCAGGAAGCCACGTGGATGTGCACACACACGTGGATGCACCTTTTCCCCTCTCTTTCTCTTTGAAAGGCTGCTTGGACCTTTACAGACTGAATTTTGGGCTGTTTCAAGAAGCCTCCTCAAACACTCCTTTGTTCCAGCGCTGGCTGGCGATGCTAGACCGGCCTTCAAGCGAGATGCGGAAGCTGTAGGCAGAACTTCTGTTCCTGTGAGCCTAATAGAGGTCCTGCAAATCCTTCCTAGCTAATTAATTTCTGCCCTTTTTCCTCCCTCCTCTCCAGATCACTGTGTTCACTACTACGATCTTCGCAACACTAAGCAGCCCATCATGGTGTTCAAAGGGCACCGCAAGGCGGTTTCCTACGCGAAATTCGTGAGCGGGGAAGAAATCGTCTCTGCGTAAGTGTCACCCTTTTATCTAGGCTCCAAACTTTGCAGCCCTCCCTTTCCAGCTCTCATCAGGGTCATCCTGCCAAGTTCACCTGTGTGGGAGGGTGTGCTCGCTAGCTGCTGTGCTTTTGGGAAGCTGATGGTTGCTTTTTTTATTTTCCTAAGACACAAATAGCAATTAATTCCTGGTGGTGCTTGGCTCTGCTCTGTCTCACAGAGCCAGGAAGCTGAAAAGGAATATGAAGACAATTAGATGCATCTCCTGACCAGAGGCCCCAACTGTGAGAAGCTGCAGGTGAACTCCCCTTTTACAAAGTGCTCAGGATGCTCCTGAGCAGAGCTCTGCTGTAGATGAGGCTGGCAGCACAGCCCCGAGGATAGTAATCAGTGGTAAAACACAGCTGATTAGCAACAGAACTTGCTCATCAAATGGTGCTGCTGGGTCAGGTTTATCCACAGCCTGAGAGCAACTCAAGTAGGACTGGCTGATGTGTTCTCTGGTAATTAATTAATATGCTCTGTGGAGGCCTTCTTTAGGATTATATGCTTGGGTTTGAAAGCAGACAAGGAAAAGTTGTGGTTTATGTTCCTAATGGTGTGTGGCTTTTTAGCCAGGGCAGGCTATAAGATCTGCTATGGAGACACCAAGGAATAGTATTCTGCAGCTACTGCTCAGTTAAGTGGCCAGATGTGACCCAAAGTCAGCTGTGGCTGTCTCACTTCTAGGTAGGTTTTCAGCTGTGAGGGAATGATCACCTAGTGAAAGGTTTGTTGCAGTCGTACAAACCAGGGGTGAGCTTCTCTTACATGGAGAGGAAAATACAAATAGCCTTGGGATGCTGCAGGCACAGCTTTGATCTCAACATACTCATGTTCAACAGCCCAGGGCAGCAGGGGTAGCTCACAGGGTAGACCTAGTCCCAGAAAGTGTCCCTGCTGCCTTGTACCCAGCCAGTGGTTATCCAGCTTATTTCTGTCCCGTGGTTTTACACAGTTTGCTCTAGGAACTTGGGTCCAAAAGAGTCTTTTAAGGTATAAAGCTAGCAAGCTGGGGAAGGGTCTAGAGAACAAGTCATATGAGGAGTGGCTGAGGGAACTGGGGTTATTTAGTTTAAAGAAGAGGAGGCTGAGGGGAGGCCTTCTTGCCTTCTACCACTACCTGAAAGGAGGTTGTAGGGAGGTGGCTGTTGGCCTCTTCTCCCAAGTAAATAGTTATAGCATCAGAGGAAATGGCCTGAAGTTTTGACAGGGGAGGTTTAGATTGGACATTAGGAAGAATTTCTGTACTGGAAGGGTGGTCAGGCACTGGAACAGCCTGCCCAGGGAGGTGGTGAAGTACTTCTTGGAGGTGTTCAAGAAGTGTGTGATGAGGAATTACAGGACATGCTTTAGTGGCTGAGATTGTGATGGTTTGTGGGTGCTTTTTGGTAGAGTGTGTGTGGTTGGTAGTGTTTGTTTAGTTTCTCTTGGCTTTTTTTTGTACTGATGGTTGGACACTGTGATCCCAGAGGTCCTTTCCAACCATGATGATTCTGTGATTCTGTATTCAAGCTGCCAGTGAATTGCTCTGAGCTGATCTGTGTGATGGAAGATTCTGTGGTGACTTCCAATACTGCTGCTATTTAATCAGCTCCTCTCTCTTTTATTTCCTTTAGCATTGTAAGTTGCTATAAGGGTGCAAATTCATACCTAGAGTGCAGAGCAAATTAAGTTTAATGCTGTGAATCAAATCTGGGTAAGAAGAAAGTGTTTAATGGAAGCTGGAGGAAGCTGGAAGTGTTTTACAGCCATGATCAAATGGAGCATCATCCATGAGATGTTTCAGGACAGAATGGCTCTGTCCTGCTTGAGCTGACCATGTGAGAAAGCTTATCCCACAGTCCTGGGAGGACTATTTGATAGAGCTGTCAGACTTGGACAGGCAACAATAGGGTGAGAGGACTACCTGGAAGATTCATGTATCTTTTTCTGCATTAATAGGAATATCAGAGTACAATGTTTCTCGTGTCAGTCTTTTTTAAATTGAGGAGAGAAGACCAGTAATGATTCCCAAAAATCAAGCACTGATTTCTTTTAAGAAAAAATGATATGCATATTCAGAGTCTCTAGATTTCTGGCTAAAGATGGTTTTATAGATTGCATTGATTTACTTTGCCTTGTAGAGTTAGGTTTTGACCTCAAGGGTGTTCAGAACTGCCTGGTATTTAGCACAACACATTGATTGCAGTGCTGATTTACAAAGAGACAGATACAACAGCAGTGCATCCATGATAGTTTTTTTTGGAGAGAATATGAAAGCAAGAGCAATACTAACACCAGCAGAATCAATGGCCTTCTCCTCTCCTTGCAGTCCAGTGGCAGATAACATCCTTCTTTTATGGCATGCTTATCCTAAGCAATGCAAACATGGCTAGAGCTCAATGGGAATTTGTTAACAGTAGAAGCATTCCATTAGTAATAGACTTGAAGTGTTTTTATTTTAATGAAGAGATCCAGAATGTATGCTATTAAAATACAGAGGTTAAGTGCCTGTGTATGTGAGGTCTTCTTGATGGGTTAGCTAATAGCAGGAGCTGTCATGGGAATCTGACAGCTTGTAGACCAGGGATTAGGCTTTTGGAGCTTTACTCTGCCTTCAGGGAAGTTTAGTTTCCAGGCAACTCCGAAGCTTTTCAAAGCAGTATTTTGAAAATAGAACTGCCCTAAGAGTAGAGAAGGCACCTCCCTGCACTCATGGGCCAAAAAACCAGTGGTACATACTTTTTTGCCCTTTTTATGAGCCATGCTGCTACTGTGATGGTAAGGACAAGAGAAGGGAAGGGAGAGTGAGAAGCAGAGTAGGGTAGGGATGGGTATGGAACAAGCCTGTGTTTCAGGCCCCCCCTTGGTCAAGACCTGGGATAAGGAGTGCACTCCTGCTTAAGTCATGGTATTACAGATAAAATTGGTACCTTTGTTCTGAGCTGACCTCATCCTATTATTACAAATTACTAACAAATCTTCCTACAGCTCCCTTATCACTCCTTTGTCATTCCAGTTGTCATTGAGGGCTGAGATAAGGGTTTTGCAGCACAGCATGAGGTGCATCTCTCCTCTTTCATGCTATATTTTTAGGTAAATGTGACATTGTTGCAAGGCTAATGTGTTATATTATTGTTAATATTTGATGGCTAGTGGGTGGTGGGGTTTTTTCCCCCCTTCAGGTCTTAATACTCAGAAGGCATCAAGGTTGGGTGATGTGACTTGCAAGAGGGGAATGTCACCTACGTCTCTTTCCTCCTACCCAGGAGGGTCCTGCTGACAATCTGACAGGTCCTGCTCCCAGTCTCTTTCAAATTTAAGATGGGAACAGTGCTACCCATTTCCCCAAGGGCAACTTCATGGGGCTCTGGTCGCACCACATCAGTGTTTCTTCACTTGCTGTGGAGCTTATCACCATAAATCAGTGTGTGCCAGAATCTCAGAGCCTGGGAAGTGAGAGGCACTTGTGTCCCCTCAGGTTTTTGGGAGGAAATTAATCCTGTATCTCCCAGCAACCTGGGGTCTTCCAGCTGAGTTGTGCCAAGCAGAGCAGAATACTTCTGCCTCCTTTCTTCAGCTGAAGGGAAGACTTTTGCTCAGAGTAAATACAAGAACATTTTGGAGGCAGGTGTGTTGACATGTAGGGCAACAATGGAAAACTTCCATTTTTATTTAATCCCAACAGAATTTGTGTCTCTTTAATAGTAGTATTTAGCTTGTCTGCCAAGGTGAAAAGAGTGGAAGTTTGAGGTCTGTATCCTTGCAGTCACAATTACACATGGGCAAACCACATCTATTTAGTGCTGATAGGAACTGTGACACCCCACCCCCCCCCTAGGTTTTATAAGCTGCTACTTGGCATTGAGCAGGAGGAGGAGAACATACTTTCAGGGATGCTGGAGAGGGCAGAAGCTGCTTCCCTCCCAACTTCTGTAAAGGTATGAATGAGAGTTGTAGCCAGCATGGAGAACAGATCTTTGTCTATAGATAGAATTTTTATTTAGCCTCTACAGTATATTCAGTGTGTCCTGGATCTGTGAGGATCCAGAGGAGGCTGTGATGGCCTGAAGGCTGCACAGTTCAGTGAACAACTGATCAATAAGAGAAAGGGAGAGTAATACTTGGGGGAAGTTCTTTATTCAAACATGTAATGCATTTTGACAGGCTTCTGAAATAATCTGATACCTTTCCGAGCTCAAGCTGAGTTGCATGTGATTGAAAGTGGGATAAATCTTCTGGAGTGCATCAAGACTCCCTAGGTTTATATTGCAAGTAGAGTGTTGAAGAGCTGCATTGAGCCAGCAATGTGCCCTTGTGGCCAAGAAGGCCAATGGATCCTGGGGTGCATTAGAAAGGGGGTGGTTAGTAGGTCAAGAGAGATTCTCCTGCCCCTCTGTTCTGCCCTGGTGAGGCCACATCTGGAATGTTGTGCCCAGTTCTGGGCCCCTCAGTTCCAGAAGGACAGGGAACTGCTGGAGAGAGCCCAGGGCAGAGGCACAGAGATGCTGGAGGGAGGGGAACATCTCCCTGCTGAGGAAAGGCTGAGGGAGCTGGGTCTGTTGGGCTTGGAGAAGAGGAGACTGAGGGGCCACCTCATCCCTGGTTACAGATCTGTTCAGGGCAGTGTCAGGAGGGCAGAGCCAGGCTTTGTGCAGGGATGTCCAGTGACAGGACAAGGGGCAGTTGGTGCAAACTGGAGCCCAGGAGGTTCCATGTGAGTATCAGGAAGAACTTGTTTGGTGTGAGAGTGCCAGAGCCCTGGGCCAGGCTGCCCAGAGAGGCTGTGGAGTCTCCTTCTCTGGAGACATTCCAACCCCCCTGGGCACGTTCCTGTGTGATGTGCTCTGGGTGCCCCTGCTCTGGCAGGGGGGCTGGGCTGGGGGAGCTTTCCAGGTCCCTTCCAACCCCTGGGGTTCAGTGGGTCTGTGATTGCAAGTGAGGAGTACCTGCCATAGGGCAGCAGCCTAACTCTGGGGTTTGTTTCCAGGTCAACAGACAGTCAGCTGAAGCTGTGGAACGTGGGGAAGCCTCACTGCTTGCGCTCCTTCAAGGGTCACATCAACGAGAAGAATTTCGTGGGCCTGGCATCCAACGGAGACTACATCGCCTGCGGTGAGTGGGGCAGCCATCCTGGCAGGGCCAAGGGGGCTCCTTGGAGCTGGTGCCTCTCCAGTTGCAAAGCTCACTAGTGATTGTGCCACAAGGCTGCATGGGCTTTTTAATAGAGGGTTATTCCAAACTTCTACCTTCTTCTCCCTTCTCAGGGAATAGCTTTATGACCTGACATAAGCAGGGTCTGCACTTGGTTTCTTCCCATTTCAAGTGACTTATTTATATATGATGACTCAGACTTGCTGTCACCAGAAGTCAACTACTACTCTATCCACTGTTGATTCCACTTATGTCATTCAAGCTTGACACACCCTCCCAAACCTTTCTCAGACAGGACAGTGGTCTGGACCACACAGGTGGTTCTGCATTTGTCTCTTAGTACAGCATTCTGCACAGTGAAGCACTAATGCCCTTGTGAACACCTGCCTGGGACACAAAATCATCCTGAAGCTCTTACCCCTCTGGTGATTTCTCTCACCACTTAAGTTGGACTGTTGAGCCTCTGTAAATACACAGGTCTTGGTGGGAAAGCTGATAGGATGAGCAGGACAGCTGTGCCAGCACTGAAGGGAGGACCTTAGCTTGTGTATTCTCTGGTCTCTGTACAGCTTGCAAGGCAGAAATTGCAATAGATTTCTAAATAAAGCCTGCATGCTGTCTAGTCTCTCTTAAAACCTCCAAGGACCAAACTGTCATGCTTGATTACAGCCAGCAGAAGTGTGACAGTGCTACCTGCCTCAGAGCTCTAACACCAGCAGGCTGGGAGTAGCAGTGTTTTAAGTGGTAGTGTGGATGCTGTGCTCTGCCCTAAGGAAGTTCAAGGAAGTGGCTGGGATCCTGTATGTTCTCCAAGCCTGCTGCAAACTGCAGTTGTCTTGTTGTGAAGCCTGGTTCATCATAAAAGTTTGCATGGAGCAGTCCCAGCTGCCAGGGCTGATGAAGCCTGGTTCTGTTATTAAGCATCATAAAGGTTTGCATGGAGCAGTCCCAGCTGCCAGGGCTCCACAAGCATGATGGTAACTACATGGAGGGACTGGCTGGTTTTGTCTTAAATTCACAGACTGGTTTAGGTTGGAAAGGATCTTAAAGATCATCCAGTTTGAACCCCTCTGACATAGGCAGGGACCCATCCCACCAGACCAGGTTGCTCCAAGCCCCATCCAACCTGGTCTTCAGCAGTTCCAGGGATGGGGCAGCCACAGCTTCTCTGGGCAACCTGTTCAGTGTAAGAGTTAAGAAGCCTGATTCCCATGCTTGCTACCAAAACCTGATCTTGTATATTTGTGTTTTTTTTTATTTCTAGGAAGTGAAAATAATTCCCTATATCTATACTATAAGGGCCTCTCAAAGACACTGCTGACGTTCAAGTTTGATACAGTCAAAAGTGTCCTGGACAAGGACCGGAAAGAAGATGACACAAATGAGTTTGTGAGTGCTGTGTGCTGGAGGGCACTACCAGATGGGGTAAGCTTTCTGCTCAGGCACCCAACTGGGTGCAAAAGGAATGCTTCCTGCTTTCTCAGGAAACAGCATTGCTGAGGGTTGGACTGCACTGGGTGTTTTCCCATTGATGGGTATCACAGATCCATGTGAGGATCTGCAGGGGAACTGAAAGGCTGGGGGGAGCTGGGGAAGAAAGGACTGCTGTGCTCCCAACTCTCCCACCTGGGTGTTTGAATCTCTCTACTTGGCATGTGAAATCCCCAAAGAAACCTTGTATTTCTGGCACTTGGTTTTTTGTGGGCACCTTAGTGGGAGTTCTGTTGCTTTAGTGAAGGCACCTGCAGCTACTCACTAGAGCCTTATCTCAGTGTTATCCTGTCTGTGTGGGTTTGCTCCTTGAAATACAACCCTGTGTTTAGATGAGGAGATACGTGAAGGAGCTGAGCCTGGCCAGGCTGCAGTCACCTCAGTGACTGTTCCAGTGACACTTAATTGCTACATGCAGCATGTGTACTGATACTGCACACAGACCTGACACAGGTTTTGGGAGAGTGGCCTTTTGGCATGGGGCTGCTCTGGAGAACAAAATGCTGCTTTTCAAATTCAGAGGGGTTTTAAAAAACTTGCATTAAAAAAAAAAACCAAAACAAAACAAACAAAAAACCCAGAAACGAAACATCTTGAGCAACTCTTTTGTATGTACAAGGGTTTGCAGATCATATACTTAATGGGTTTGTTGGCAGGGGCAGGAGAGGAATCATAGAATCACAGAACTATTCAGGTTGGAAAAGCCCCTTGGGATCATCCAGTCCAGCCATCATCCCTACTCTACAAAGTTCTCCCCTAAACCATCTCCACCAACACCACATCCAAATGACCCTTAAACACATCCAGGGCTGGTGACTCAACCACCTCCCTGGCCAGCCTGTTCCAGGGTCTGGCCACTCTTTCTGTGGAAAAATTGTTCCTAATTTCTAGTCTAAACCTGCCCTGTTGCAGCTTGAAGCCCTTCCCTCTTGTTCTGTCACTAAGGACCTGTGAGAAGAGACCAGCACCAACCTCTCTACAATGACCTTTCAGGTAGTTGTAGAGACTGATGAGGTCTCCCCTCAGCCTCCTCTTCCCCAAACTAAACATTCCCAGCTCCTTCAAGCCTTCTTCATCAGATTGATTCTCCAGGCCCTTCACCAGCTTCGTTGCCCTCTTCTGTGCTCGCTCCAGCACCTCGAGATCTCTCTTAAACTGAGGTGCCCAAAACTGGACACAACACCCAGGTGTGGCCTCACCAGTGCTGAGCACAGGGGGACAGTCACCTCTCTGCTTCTGCTGGTCACAGTATTTCTAATCCAGGCCAGGAGGCCATTGGCTTTCTTGGCCACCTGGACACACTGCTGGCTCATTCAGCTGCTTGTCAGTTAGAACCTCTAGGTACTTTTCTGCCAGACACTTTCCAGCCACACTTCCCCAAGCCTGGAGCATTGCCTGGGGTTGTTGTGGCCCAAGTGCAGGGCCTGGCATTTGGCCTTGTTGAAGCCCAAACCACTGACGTTAGCCCAACAATCCAATCTATCCAAGTCTCTCTGTAGAGCCTCCCTATCCTCATGCAGATCAACACTCCTGGCTAGCTCGGTGTCATCTGCAAACTTACTCATGATACACTCTATGTCCTTATCAAGGTCATCAACAAAGATGTTAAAACAGAAAGATCCCAACACTGAGCCCTGAGGAACACCCCTTGTGACTGGCCAACTTGGCCTTGAACACCTCCAGGGAAGGGCCATCCACAACCTCCCTGGGCAACTTGTTCCAATGGCTCACTACCCTCACAGTGAGGAATTTCTTCCTAACATCTACCCCCTTCCAGTTTGAAGCCATTACCCCTTGTCCTCTCACTATGAAGAAAGCCCCCACAGCTGTCATTCAGTTGTCACTGACATAAACTTAGATAGATGCTTCTGAATCAAAGCAAAAATAATCTCAGGTGTCTGAAACTGCACTTTTGATTTCAAAGTGGACTGTTGTGGTTTGAACAGTGGGCATGAGACTCAGTGACATAGGTTCACCAACTTCTTGCTGGCTGGAATTTAAGGAGGATTTGGTAGGCACAAATGTCTTGTCTCAGATGAAGAGTGGCTGTTGGAAGTTGTGTAGTCCATCTTTCTGCTGAGTAAAAACATGCTGTTGAAAGCTGTGTGTGTAGAAACACCCTTCCCTGAACTGTTTGCATTGGATTGTCCTGCCTGCTGACCTCCTGGGCAGCTTTTCTACAGGCAACAGGCTAACAGTGATATCTAACCCCTGTGTTACTTCTCTTGCCATCTGCTCCTTTTGATCTTTTTTCTGATTAATGTACTTTACTCTGACAGATCTTCTGCTTAAGTGACTGAGAAACTTTTGAGTAGTCACCAAGGGTTCTCAAGCAATTCTTCACAACCAGTATGAAAAATATTGTGCAAAAATGTAATAGTTGAATCAGGCCCTTCAAGATTTCACCAAATTTCTTTCAGGCTTCACTCCATTAAGCAGCATTCAGAATCCATCTGATGTTCTGATCATTAGAGGTTTTTTCCATCATTCCTCTGCTATTCCCTGGGCTTCTTCTAAATGAACCTTTCCCTCCTGTGGCAGCCACAGGACCTGGCTTTCATTTTCAAAGACAGCATCAAAAAGCTGGATACCAGGAGCTGAGTGTTTTCCTTCCATGTTTTACCTCTGCCTGTGGTGTGTGTCATCCTGCTTTACATTCTGGTCCTGCTTTACTTCCTGAGCAAGCTGGCTCACTTGCTTTTGCCAAGAAGCCTGAAAGTTCCCGTGCACCATCTCCCCAGCCCCCCTGAGACAAGAACTCTTCACTGATGCACACACACATTTCTCTTCCCTCTTGTTCCCAGCACATGGGTCCTCTCTGACCTCATTGAGACTTTGCTCGTGTTCTTAGGAAATTTAATTACTGCACAGCCAAAGGTCATTTATGCCCACAAAGTCACACTGGAATGATTAAACTCTTTTCTTTCTTTTTTTTTTTCCCCCTCTATTTTTATAAAGTTTCTTAAACTTGGCATAATTTTGTTTTCAGATGAGCTTCCTATATCCAGGCTTCCCTAAAAGCTGACATGTGTTCTAATGCTGCTCAGATGAACTAGAGAAGGCTCTTGCCTCACAGTGCTGTCAGCATTTGAGGGAACAGGGGAACCCACAGCCTATTTCTGGCTTAATTGCAGACTTTGATCCTGGGTGAGTCACTCTGCCTTAGCTTCCTAATTAGAAGAGTTCCCGTGCCCACCTTCCACTGCCGGCGGAGATGGTGCCTGCTCTGCTGCAGGGCACGTTGCAGCTCAGCAACTCCATCCCTGCATCCTTCCAGAGCCCAGCATGGGTTGGGAAACCTGCCCCAGAGCCACAGGGAGCATGGTGGGTAGGCTTTATACTGCTCTGGGCAGGCTGTTCTCTGTACTGGTTCAAAGCTGTCTTGCTTTGTCTCTTTGCCATGGTCACTGGGCAGTAGCTTCAGTGTTGCTACCTGGAGTGTTTCTGAAGGGGAAGATGTGTGCCAGCCTTTCCCTAAGGCTCCCTGGTGGAGCAGACTCTCTGCAGTTTCCCTACTGTTTTGCTCTCCAGGATTGTTCTTTAATTAACCTTTGGAGATGAGATGACTAAGTTTCAGATCTGTCAGTTATCTTGGCAAGCATGAGTACATGTCCTCCTTCATCTCCTGCACTTAAGTGCAAAATCTCAGATTCTAATTAAAACTTAACCAAAACTTTCAGATGAAATGCCGTTGATTCTTTCTTAAATCTATATTTGGATAATTCAGGCTTTTATTTCCTCCTGAGTCAAAGTTAAGCTGTGCCAGCAGCCCTTGCCAGAACCCATCTTTTTGGTTTTTTGCCCCTTCTGTATTGTTTATTCCTCACTTAGGAAGATGCAGGGATCTTTCTGCTAGAGCTGTCACCTTTCAGAGGTCCAGCCAGGGCTTTCTTTCCACCTGTGTTAAAGCCACGACAAGGGAGAGAAACTATTCTCTGAAAGTGTTTATTAGCATTTTGCATCAGGCTTGCTCACTTTTCAACTCTTGGGTAACGTTTAGAAATAAGCACAAGCTTGTAGGCTCATAGTTTGGTTAGACTGGGAGGGGGGAAAAGCCCCAAGCAAACAAAAAAATCTGAGAAGGTGCATTGGGAAGCAAAGCTTTGATCTTCTTCTTTTGGTGCTGTGTAAATAAGCTGTTTAATATTTTTTTAAATAGTGAGTGAGGAAAACCACTTCTCATTTTATTCTAACAATTGATGAATATTTAATGGTGAAAGAAGCTTCAGGACACTTTTGGCCTATTAAGAATGAGTTAGACACAGAGTTGCTTTTCAGAACCTTCCCTGAACCAAATAGTTTTATTTATCAAGTCAGGGACTTTATTATAAACCTGTCCTGTCCTTTGTTCCTGGCACCTCAGCAAGATTTAGCCAGCTTGATTTGAAACAGGAATCTGGGCTTGAGATTGGAAAATACCTTGTATTTCATTAACATGTAAGCAGACCATGCTCATGCATAGAGGGATGCTCTTGCACAGGGAAGGGAAATAACAGCAGTGGTAGTAGCTCACTGCAGTTAGGGGGGTAAAGATGTTTTATCTGTCTTGAGAGGGTCACTGCAGTTTTGTCCAGGTAGCTGGAAGAGAGAGTCTGTACTTCATTTCCCTTCTGTGTCCTGCATTGTTTGCCCCTTCCCTAAAGGGGCCATCTTTTGTTTGGCCCTGCTTTGCCACGTTGCAGAGTGTGAGATGTGCCTCATCCAACTGTGTTCAATAATTACATCTCAAGTAGCCCCTTTCCCAGACATGGTTAGTGTTTCTCAGAAAGAAACTGTCAAAAAAAGCAACCAAGGCTGAACCTGCTCCCAGGACAGCAAAAAGGTATTACTGCTGAACACAGAAGCAATTTGATTATGTAGATTAAGCATGGCTCAATCTATCATAATCAGTGAAAAGAAGCCATTTAATTCTGTACCTGTTTGCATGAGTATTC